TTGAACAGCACTGGGCCCAGTACTGACCCCTGGGGGACACCACTGGCCACAGGCCCCCAACTGGACTCGGCCCCATTTATGACCACCCTCTGAGCTCTGCCATCCAGCCAGCCCTCGATCCACCGCACTGCACCGTCCCTCTTGTCTGGGATTTGTCCATCCTATTTCCTCTTGAGCCTGAGAATTTTGATGATCTCTGGAAAGTCTAAGCCATTTGGCCAAGATTTTTATTTAAACATTCATTTGCCCATAAGTTTATTTCTTCTCTATATTCCCTCTGCACGTTCTCCTTGCCCCTTGCCTTCTCTTCAATTCCTACATCCAGCTTTCAGTTTCTTCCTTTAACTGTGTTTGGGAGAACACAGGATGAAGGTAACTATCAACTACATGAAACGTAAACACCCCCTCCGGAAACAGATGAGACCTTACAAAAGGAATTTATCTCCATACCTTAAGGAGAAGGAAAATTACCAAGAGCTTCCAGGACGGCAGGGGATCAGTAGGTTTGAATGACTTCATCCCACTCCTCGAGGGGCCACACGCCGTTGTCCTGCACGTTGGACGGGGAGCTCTTCCAGTCCCAGGTCCTCACGGGCACCCGCCAGCCCGGGCCGTAGTTGGCTTCCACGTACTGCAGCGTTTCGCAGGGCACGTGCACCTTGAGCTCCACAAACTCAGTCCAACACAGAGTGAACTTGGGGAAGAGGTACCTGCATCATAAGAGAATTTGGCCGTCAGCAGAGGAGCGAGGGGCAAACCTGCTTAAATCTGCGCAGAAGGGAAGCAGCTGCAGGTCACCGACTTATTTCTATGGTTTCTCGCAATACCTAATGTCCTGTCCATGAAGTTAATTCATGAAGTTCTTAACTTATTGATTACTTACTAGAGAATGGAGCTATCAACAAAAGCCAATCAATATCTGTCATGTATCCTTGATTCTACTGCTTTTTTTAATCTATTGCTTGTCTATTGCTACACTATTCTGTCACCTGTAGGAAATTACTTCGTTCTCATCTCTATTTTTCCCTCAAATTGGATTTAAGGTGGCATGAGCTTTAATATATGTTAATTTCTGAGGGGAAATTTTGGTAAAAGCAGCAAGAAAGACAAGTCTGGAAACAAGAAAGTTAACTTAAAAGAAAAAAGATCCAAATCCCAGAAAAATAACTTGCTTTCAAGACAGGTTTCCACCTTCCTTCAATCCAATCAAACAGAGCATGTTTAAACATGCTCCCAAAGTCAGAGCAGCTGCAAAGTATTAAGATATAGTTGCTACCCTGTGCTTCTTGAAACTTGTTTAGCCTGTTTAAATTAAAAAAAAAAAAAAAAAGCAAAACAAAACAAACAAAAAAACCACACAACTTTCTTCTGCATCTGTGTTTTCTCTAGAAGGGTCAACAGGAGCTTTACCTGTCACCAGGTGGAAATGCAGAGATTTGCACAGCAAATGCACAGCAGAAAAGCAAGGACAAGTTTCAGTTTCATCAGAATGAGGCCAGAGCCCAGCTGCTAAACAAGCAAACAGCAGAGCCTATATCCTGCAGAGCAGCACTCCCACTCCCCATGCTGTGAAATCTTGCAGGGAAAAAGTTACTTTAAAATTTCATTTTGAATGGTGACTGGTTAAAAAGAAATCACAGGCACTTTGCCCCTTTGGAAGGGAAGAAGAAGTTAAAAGCCTTGTACACTTRGATGAACTAAAAATTCACCATATTCCTTTAAGTATAAAGCTAACATTATTTCTAAACAGTGAGCAAACATTTCAGAACATAAAACTAACTCAATTTTATGCCTTAAGTGGAAAAAAAGAATAATCAAGCACTTCTGAATTTATAYCCAGGGACTGACCACTGAATAGCTCTAAACTAAACCTTGAAACACGAAACAACAGGTACCAAGAGGAAGAAAAGGTAGACAAACTTTCTCCATGGGCTTATAATGATAAAATATATATTTAATTACAGAAATAATCCAGATAACAAACAAAATGGAATTACAGTGGATGTGCACATGGAAAAGCTAGAAGCAAGCCCCTGAAATGATGCAACTCAGCAGAGACTGAATTCTGAATAGTSAATTTTAAGGAGAATAAACAGGTATTTTAAATAAAAAACAATCTAATCATCAAAACCTGCACTGAGTTTGCTGATAGACTAAAAAATGTTGCATTTAGTAATGCTGAAAAGAATGAGGCACAAAATGGGGAATCCTACTTAAAACTCCATTTTCAGAATGGGAACAACAAAATGACCTGTAGTGGTCATCTGTGCAGCTGTCCTAACATTCCTGTAGGAGAAACACTTAAAATGACCCCAACAATGTCCCCAAACCATGTTCTTTCTTTASTGTGTACGTCAGTGCACGTCAGACCTTTTGCCACAATGCTCTCCTCAAGAYAGAAGGTTAATTCTTTACTGCAAAATCAAACATGCACCTATCACATTTTTCAAGACTCCTTTCTTATCRCACCTCTTTGCCTTTGTCACATTTCAGAGTGTCTGCGTGAGAAGTTGACAGGCCACTGTTTTTCAAGATTTCACGAGAAAATCCACATTTGACAAGACCAGCACCTTTCTGGGAACAGGGATCACTGTTCTTTTTAATTTCTGTAGTTTCAAAGCTCAAAATCTCCACTGATTCCCTTCTGATAACTGCCTAGTCCAACACACAACACGGGACACCAACACTAACTAGTTCAATTCCTTTCCTACTAGAGATACAGATACAGTCAATTCATACTTAAATTTCTTGCCCGATTTGGCCTGAGTTCCTCCATTCCACATGTAGTCATCCTCTTCATAGAAGAAAAAAATATCAAGTTTTATATCACCTTCTCCCTGGAAAGAGAGTTCCAGGCTGTCTTCTACCTGCAAGASAAACACAAACACTCATAAAAAAACAATGACAAAAAAATGCAAGGCTAATGATGCCATCAGATCTCAAAGAACAAGGTTATTCCATAGCAGGGGGTCTCCTATACCAACCTATACCAATACACTAATTTACCAACTTCTTTTTCTGATGCCTTGAGAAAACTGGAAATTTTCTTCAATTTGATGGGGATTATCATCTCCCTCCTTAATCTGGCCCCACATCTCTAGTACCAAGTCTTTGCTCTCTCTCATAAAGCCAAGACCGAGCTCTTTATTTGGGCTTAACTGTAGGGTCCCTTTCTTTTGACAGGGAAGCAAAGAGCAGTGGTTTCTTCAGGAATTCTTGCAGGACATCACAAGAGCTGTGTAAAGAAAGATGGTGCTCTAGACCAAACTATTTTCATTCATTCTCTTTGMACTATAACAGATCAGCATTTGCTATAATTTGAGCATCACGAATGAAAAGTGATCTGCCTTAAGCACCTTTCTTCACAGAGCTCACAGTATGCTATCACATCCTAAGACTGCAGTTTGGTAAAAACTCCTCTTATGAAAGAGCAGAGAAACCTCAGTGAATAAACACATGACTCAATGGGTGRCTTTATTTAAAATACCTCTCTGGTAAAACATCCACTAGCACCAATTAGTGAAGTATCTCCTGAACCGTGGCTAAATCTCTGCAATCTCCCTCTAATTTTGCTTTTCCTCTTTATCCTTCAGGTTCCATGCTACAGCCTTTTCTCTGGCACAGCTCAGTAAGGGTCCACATAAGCTGATGCTCTCCTCAAGCAATCTTTCCCTCTGTGCCAGACAGTCTAAGTGCCATCACATTCCTCATCTATGACCAGGCCCATTCAGTATTAAAGACTTAATTTTACCTTAATTTTTTATTTTCTCTTGCACCAATTAAAACAAATTATATCCCTTTAAAATTATTTTTAAAGCTCTGTGAGGTAGATTCATAAACTCCAAATAGGATTAAACGTGTTCTGTATTGCCACATGCTGCCCAAGAGAACACATAAAAATCAGTAAGACTGTATGTTTAAGGAGATCACTCATAAGTAAATATGTAGGAGGAAACTTCAAAGATCCAATTCAATGGAAATAATTTGTAGCTACACTGAGAATAATATACCTAAAAAAAAAAAAATGCATGAAGCCAAKCATATGTTATCTGCATACCTTGCCAAATTTGTACTTCAGTGGTAATCCTGCTTTCTGAAATGCTGGAAYGATATCTGCTTTGTAGTCCTTTATAAAGATCCCCAAATCCACATCTTTGCTGTAAGGAATGATATTGCACTGTCTATACCAGCCTGGAGAAGAGGGAAAAAAAATAATAATAATTAGTTAATTCAGAACCATGAGGTTTGGAACACAACACACACAACACAGAGAGCAGAACTACAGCAAACTAAGACTAAACTGACGTAAGGCCAACACGCTGAGATCCTTCAAGGAGGCTATAAACAAGATTTCTATCTTTTTGCAGCTTCAAACTGACCATAATGAAGGAAAGAAATATTATTCTACTTATAGTCAGCTCCCTTCTTCAGAAAGTCAGGAACAAGGGAGAAATCACTGTCCCTCCTAAAGATACAATATCTTCACTTTTCTAATCCCAATGTCTTACAAGAAAAAATAAATTAGATCTGGGTGCAGGTGTTGTCAGCAGTGAACAGCTACATGGATCCAACTCTGCTTTTAATTTGAAGCAAGTATGTTAAATAGCAAGACGTAAACCACTTTTTAATTACCAAAACAAAACAAGAAGTACATCATTTCACCTATGCCACTAGAGCAGCTTGTTGGTAACTGTCCATTCAGGAGGTGATTGTCCATAAGACTGAACAAATGCAAGTTAAATGCTCATACGTATGGACTTAGACTTTATCACATCTGAAGCAGATCCTGTTTCTTCTGTGCTAAAGATATTACTTCCAACTTCTACAGAATATACTGTAATAGGCTGACACATAAAAGGTTGTGTTTTAAAATATATGTAAACAGCATTTAAAAAGTCAGTTGTGACAAGCAAAGAAAATGAGGTGACAGTATATAGGAACACCAGAGAAATGTGTATTTTTCAGCTACCACTTCAATAAATTGTGCAATAAGGGAATTGCTGAGTGCTTTCTAATAGCACTATGCATTTATCTTCAGGTTTACTCAGCATCTTCAAGGCTTAGGATTTTGATCAAAAGAAAAAAAAACAAAGGTTTGTTTTAATAGAGCTAATMTAGAGCACMTGCMTCCCACCTTCAAATATTTTAGCTGTTAACTTCAGCTGAAATCATAAAAGCAACAGAKAATTAAACRCTTAAAATTTCAGATGAGCTAAAAAATGCAGTATAACAGAAATGTTTTACCAAGGCAGGTTCCACTGCTCAGCCAGAACGTTACTCCTAAGTTATTCAGTGTTAGGGCAGCCAGATGCAGCAAGGATTTTGCCCTTTTCCTGAACTCCACTGCCTCCAGAGAGGCGTCATCAGGGTACAGCTAGAAAGCAAAGGGAGAGTGAACTATTCACAGAGGGCAAACATTTCTCTTCATTTTTCAGTGTCCTAAGGAAAAAAAAAAACCTTTACAAATTTTATGTACACAGCATCTGGGAATTATCCGTTCCCATGTTTGACAATATGCACTGGAATGGCAATTAAACTCTGAAAAATCACTCCTCAGCTTTTCCAACCATCAGAATGCAAATCAAACTGAGCAAAAAAATATGTGTATTGGGCAYCGCGTTTCTCCACGGGGACAGAAAGAGAATTAGAGAGATTCTGAGCGTTATTACAAGTTTACTTGGCGCCACCAAGTGTTATAACTGAATACTGACAACTTCTGCCATTTATTAACAGTAACGTGCACAGAAAATAATGCCTTTCTTCAGCTACAAAAATCCATCTGCAAGATCTTTCGTAATGCAAACCCAGCAGTTGTAAGGAAAAGCCTGGCAAACATCACCTATTGAGCACGTGGATGACGTACCAGCCTCCCAGCATCACTACTAATTTCACTGGGAGCTCCCCCAACACAGTTGAGACAAGAATTTACTTTCCAGACGACCTGACAACTCCTGGTTTCAATACAGGGAGAGTTCAGCAAAAGGAGACAAGCTCCAAAGGCCAACACACTTTCTAAGCCACGTTGTTSTGTAAGAGGTGGCTCATGCCAGGTTTAAGCTGATTCCTGGACGCCACAGGTAAAGCAACATCCCACATGTAGTCCAGGAAGACAGGATGGCTTCACATACAGAGGTCAAAAGAGAAATCTTTGCCCCAAGTTCTCAAACATCTGAAGAATGGAAACTCTGGTGCCCTCTTTTTGCCCTTTCCCCCAGAGCTACAAGTCACAGATTCAGTGACCTGATTCTCCCTCTGTAGCATTAGCATTTGTAATTCAATTTCATATTGAACTAACTARCTCCTGCCCAGATAGGACCTCCCTGCCCCAGCAGGAAGCTTTCCACTATCTGCTAAATCAGACAGCAATACTCTGAATCGAACACTCTTCTAAGCAGTGAGGAAACCATTTGCTTACATGGAGAAAAAGGAACAGAAAAAAGGGAACGTTTGAACAAATTTACCAATTCACACAAACACAGCTGGAATGGTGGAATTGCAAGTACATGGATAGGATGCATAAAAGAAATASTGAAAATGATGAGAATTTCAACAAGTCATACTTTTGTCCACAAAGGTAACACAAAATCTTGGTCTTATTTACACGAAATATATTTAACAGTAACAAATATGAGAGAATTACGGATAGATACCCAATCTTTAGTTTTGGATCATGGAAATAAGCACCCTCACAAATCAAAGAGAGTGATGATCTTTTCCAGCTACCAAAGTAAAGTTTTTGTTTTATTATGATTTACTAATTTCTGTGGATTAAGTCTCAGAGTCTGTATTTTCACTTTATATATGCAAACCCACTCAAGCCAAACACAATGGAAAAATGTAGGTTTGGGCACATCAATGAGCAATTTATATCTCAGAGACACTATTCAATTACCACTAACCTGAAAGAAAGCCCGAGCTTCTCTGTACCTACATTCAAGAAATCTAGAGTGTGGTATCTCCTCAAGAAAATTGGACGGATTTTGGGGAATTTGAACTTTTAAGTCATCAAGRGAAACAGGCAGAAGTTCAGGCCTGCAAGGAAAGAAAAATTACTCCATTTAATTCCTTTACAAGTTTTCTCCCTTTTTTTCTCATTCTCTCCTCTAGATTCAGTTAAAAACTCAACACAAAGAACTGCCAATGATGCCTCTGTCCAGACATATCCAGAATTTCTTACAAAAGAAGCAGCTTCAACATATTCCTCACGCATTTACAAAATTTAAATTCTTGTTAAAGAAGATTAAATTTGTTCAAAGATTTTATTCAGTGTATTTGAAGATTCAGGCTGGTGTTCTTTTTTTTTTTTTTTTGGTTGTCTATATACAGATGCACTTGAGAATCCCAGGTCTGGCGTTTATTTGGAGGTTATTAGCTTTAAAATACAAAAGCTGTTCAGCTGTTGCATGAATGAGGTGCGGTATATAATAGTTTCCAAAAATGGCTTTATATGTGTAGGCACATAACAAATACARATTATTGGTTTAGAAAAGGAAGAAATTGGCCTCAATTTTAAGAAAAAGCATAAAGAGACTTCACCTGTGAGATGCTTGGCTGTTTCTCTCTGATTTCTTATGGAGAACAGTAAGAATAATATTCTTAAAAGTTAATAGTTATGTGTGTGTGTCTGACTTTTGTTTTTTCTTTTTTTTTTTTTTTTAGGAAGATTGGCTTTGTGCACAAGTAATACCATTAACTTTAACATTTAACTCCTCCAAGCAGGAGTCTTCTCCAGGCTTTACAGGAGCATTAGGTGGAACACGTGGCACATACTTTTGTGTTACAGAAGTCACTTCTAATTATTTACATTCTTTAACACTAGTCATTTAGACTATTACTAATCAGACTTCTATTGTTTACACCTTTTCTTGACGATCAAGATATGATAGTGACATATCCTATACCCATATCCTATGCAACATTTATTTCAGAATACTTCAGAAACAAGAGGACAGTCATCAGATACTTTTAAATGYTAAGTCAGATGTGTCTTTTGGATATCAAAATATCTTAATGCACACCCAATGTGCACCTGCTACTACTAAATTTCTTGCTGCATCTACTTCACCTCTCTCATTTTTGCAGGGGGATTGGGCTAGATGGTCTCCAGAGGTCCCTTCCAACCCCYACCATTCTGTGAATCTGTGATAAACAGCAGGAAACTCTAATTGGCAGATAATTTGGATTTACRCATTTAGTTTACCTAAACTTTGAAAGCTTAACTATTCATGAGCTGAATTTTTCCCCCCTGATTTTCAGGAAGCACTGTGATTTTACATACAGGAGCTCCTGAGGAAGGGCCATTTCAGCTTTTTCTCCCTCTTCTGCGAACTCACTTTTCATAGGCGCCCGGGTAGCGACCGAAGTGGAGCTTCCTGAAAGGCACAAACTTTCTGTCCATGTGCTGCTTGAGCCGCAAAGGGCCGTGCCAGAGGTAGTGGCCGCTCCTCTCGTAAAAGACGACCAGGTGAATGGCATGGGAGGCCAGTTTGAAGATGTAGTGCAAGGGGATTTCCGTCCCGGACAGGTCGTCCATCCCATCCAGGCGCGGGTCCTTGTGTAGGATCCTCAGCCACTGGAAGCCCATCCTCTCTGCAGTTCTAAAAAGGTCCACCTTAAAAATGAGAGAAAAAGAGAACTAAGGAGAACACAAACAAAGAGAGCTATTACAGCACTGATTACAGACCAGCACTACTCCCAGATTTCTCTGTTTAGAGGTTTGGGTAACAAAGTACCCAAAACAGAATCTAGAATCACAGCTATAACCACCTGCAACTGCTATTTTTCCTGATCTTTTGTCCCTCATATCATTCAATAAACATCAAAGTAAATGTTGCAAGCTTTTTCTCTGACACTGCATCAGGCTTGCTTTTGTAGCACCAAAAAATATCCCTTTGCTGAAACTCTTCATTTGATACAAAACATAATCCGAGATCTCTCCCACAATTAATTCCACCTTCACCATTCTAAGAAAATTATCCATGTACACAAATAGCTACCAGGAGATATCACTCAGATTTTTCAAAGATACTAATGGTAAAGTCAGTGACAGACAYTACTAGAGATTCTACTACTAAATCACTCCAAATTTCCCTGAAAATCTCAAAGCCATAACTTTTACAGTCTTTATGACTCTAGCTGCTCTGTTCTATTTCTGTTCTATGCAGAATTTTCTAAGTAGAGAATAAAACACTTTCTAAAAACATTCTAAGCAGAAGTTAGCAAAATTTTTTTACAAGATCTCTACAGAATGTATTCAGGGACGTTAATACAAACATTAATGAGAACATTATGTCGCAAGACTCTGATTGCAATACCCAAACGTGAGCTGGAGAAGAAAAGGCACCTACTTCATGTTTCCACGTCTTGTCCAACAGTGCAAATGTAGTGAAGTCTCTTGGAGCACAGAAGTACTTGCATTCTGGACTAGGGCCATCAGAAGTAGTTCTGATCTGTTCAATGTCTTTATCAATCAGTCCCAGCACCAAAGGATCAATCAAATACACTGGTATATTTTGACTGGATATCAAACCTAGGAACTTCTTAACCACATGCTGTTTGATAGAGGAAAAACAGAGGTTGGAAACCTTTAAATATGCAAAGGTCAACGCTTAGAACTGCAGGCACATAGACACAAGGAACTCTTTATCCCCCAGTAGGGCTCTGATCTCCTCTGAGTATGAGTGTTATTAGAGGGGCAAGACCATGGCTAGGAAGGACAACAGCCTTACCAAGGGCAAAATGGTAGGTAATAATCATCACCCTGATTACCCCCAAGGAGGAAGTCTCCATGCTGTGGGCCAGGGGAGAGCAGTGCCTGGTGCTCACACTGACTTTATCAAGGTTTGTAACCCACCCTCCTGGGGCACCCCATGCCAAAAAGGCTGAGATACAAACGGCTGGACCACGTGGTGGGCACAGCACCAGCTCCATGGGGCTGATGACACCCGACGAGGAGCTCAGAGCCTGGGTGGCCGTGGGTCACCCCTGGCATCTCAGTAGTGATCAGTGTTGGTCAGCAACAGCAATGTGCAGCATGGCCACAGCAGGTTCACGCTGGGCTGCACCACAGGAGAGCAACCACGAGGTCCACCCAAGCCATCGGTTCTCTCATTCTGCTCCTCATTACACTGGGTTTGGAGACTGGTCTCCAGCTCTGGGCTTCCTCCAGGACTGAATGGATCYTGCTTTACTGGAATAAGTCCAGTGAAGGGTCAATATTCCTGCAGTGAAGGGACCAGAGCACAGGCAATGCCTGTGACAAGTGGGTCTGTTCAGCCTCAGGAGGACAAGAGGATGATCCAATTCCTGTCTTCAACATGGAATGTGAGGGTCCATGGAGATGGAGCGGCACTCCGACAAGCTGAGAGGTGCTCAACAAGAGCAACAATACAGAAAATCCTTATCAGATCTTAGTAATTTCTTGTGTCCAGTCAGACACTGGAATAGAGGCCCAGAGAGTTTCTGAGACCTCTCTCCTGGAGATCTTCAAAGTTTAGCTGCTAAAAGCCTGCAGTAATCCAGTCTAGACAGCTCTGCTCTATCCAGAATCTGGAATCTGTGTGAATTAACACACGACACCAACCATGGCATAGCACATACTGAATAAGGACCTCACGTAGCCTGAAGAGACTCTACATGCAATGGATTGGACATGGCAGATCCTTAAGGCAGACCAGTAAGAGCCCCGGTAGCAAACATTCYCTACACTGCCCACGCTTCAGGTTTGGAGAGGTTCAACAGGGACATCTGGTGGAAAGAAAGAGTTTACACTCTTGGGAAAAAAATAACTGCCTAACACCACAAAAGAAGGGAGTAGTAAAGGGGAAGGAAGAGGGACATGTACAGTCTTTTCTTATGAGGGGGYTTAAAAATCATTGCCACATCTTTTGTTTATAGGAATAGTGATAACTGGCCATGAAATTGCTCTCAGAAGTCTGAACAATGACTATATGAGATAGTCTATACCACGAGGAATCATAAAATCACAGAGTGGTTGAGGTTGGAAGGGACCTCTAGAGATCACCCAGTGCAACCCCCTGCTCCAGCAGGGACACCCAGAGCACGGGGCACAGGGCGGCATCCAGGCGGGTTGGGAAGATCTCCAGAGAAGGAGACTCCACAGCCTCCCTGGGCAGCCTGTGCCAGGGCTCGGGCACCCTCACAGCCAAGAAGTTCTTCCTCACATGGAGATGGAACTGCCTGGGTTTCAASTGGTACCCAYTGCCCCTTGTCCTGTCACTGGCCACCACTGAGAAGAGCTTGGCCTCTTCCTCCCTACATTCTCCTCTGATGTACTTATATATGTTGATCAGATTCCCTCTCTTCTCCAGGCTAAACAGGCCCATCTCACTTAAGTCTTTCCTCATATGATAGATCTTCCAATGTCCTCCATTGCTCCAGTGCCCCTCAAGCATCTTTCTCGCTCTCCGCTGGCCCCTCTCTAGCAGCTCCACGTCCCTCTTGTCCTGGGGAGCCCAGAGCTGCCCCCAGTGCTCCAGGTTTGGCCTCCCCAGAGCTGAGCAGAGGGGCAGGATCCCCTCCTGCCCTGCTGACAACATCCTCCTCATGCAGCCAGGAGCCCATTGGCCTCCTTGGCCACGAGGGCCCTGCTGCCTCATGGGCAACTTGGTGTCCACCAGGACTCCCAGGTCCCTCTCCGTGGAGCTGCTCTCCAGCAGGTCAGCCCCTAATCTGTGCTGGTGCCTGGGGTTGTTCCTGCCCAGGGGCAGGACCCTGCACTTGTCCTTGTTGAACCTCATGAGGTTCCTCTCTGCCCAACTCTCCAGCCTGTCCAGGTCCCTCTGGATGGCAGCAGAGTCCTCCGGAGTGTCGGCCACTCCACCCAGCTTGGGATCATCTGCAAACTTGCTCAGGGTGCACTCTGTGCCCTCGTCCAGGTCATTGATGAACAGAGTGAACAGCAGTGGGGCCAGCAGTGATCCCGGGGGGACACCACTGGCCACAGGCCTCCAACTGGACTCGGCCCCATTAATCTCCACCCTCTGGGCTCTGTCATCCAGCCAGTTCTAAATCCACCTCACTGTCCACTCATGGAGTCCACCCTTCCAGAGCTTCCCTAAGAGGAAGCTGGCAAATAACATAGTAATATACTCAGGAGGTGGATGCCTGTTAAAAGCTTGGTTTACATTTACAAACTAATTACTATCTTGGCAGAAATATGTGACTTTTCTTGTAGAGAATCACTAGAAAAAGATGGTCATAATTTCAAGCACCTAAGATGAAATCCTTTCAAACAAAATATTCCGGACTTCTCAAATGCAAGCATTTGAGAGTGGAACAGGTGCTTGACAGGGCTGAGGAGCACCCTGCTTCGTTACTAATAACCCTGTAAAATCAAGTTACCAATCAAGTTACTGCCAGCAAGCCGTCCACAGAGCAGTCTGTTCGGATTATCCCCAAGTGCAGCTCTTAACAGGAGCATCTCCCCTCCTACTCAGCACAAACAAGTCTTTCAAGKGGCTACTTTGCTAACTAGCAACATATGTCAAACTGCATTTAAAGCAAAGAGCACACGGCTCTTCATTACCCATGCTCTTCCTGGGAGGTTCACTGACAAAACGACTTCTGCAGAAGTGGCTCCAAACAAGTGCTAACTACAAATATTACAATGGAGCTGCACCCCAGGCCAGCGTGATGCTCTGATTGCCCTCAATCCTGCAAACCTTAAATGAGTCACAACAAAAATTTCCCCCTGGAGTATGTAAYGGGACTCGTAGCACTGACCCTGAGCACTGGGATACGGCAGCTGGTGAACGCTGCACTGAACACCTCTCTTTACGGCCCAGAACAAGCAGGGAACGTGAAATATGAGTGGCAGGTCAAACAACTAGAGCAAGCAAAGACGTATTTTGTGACCTGAGGACTGCAAACAATTCTGTCACCATGCTACAATCCTGTCAAACAAGCTGCAACAAGTCAATGTTTTCAGTATTTGGTCAAAAAAACCATAAAAGCCTTGATCAAAACTTCTAGAACAGAAAGAACAGGTTTTGCTTCTTAAAATACAAACWATAGAGTTAAGGACTACACAAGCAAGGGCTGCAAAGCTGTAACCCAGTCTAAAGGCYCTTTTAAGTTGGTATTTCCAAACATTGCATAGCACTATTTAGTGAAGAAAGCATCCTTTATATCTTATTACCACATGTCCAGAGGAGACTAAAGGGGGCTAGACCCCTGGTGTGCAATTCTGGACGATTTCTGCCAGATCTGCAGGGGAACTGTGCAAATCAACGACGCTGTATGCATGTTGTACATACCCATCTGGTGCTGTCCTGACCCGACTGGCTTCCTCTGCCTTTTGAGAAACCTGCTCCATTCTAGCACGACCAAAGAAGGAGGGAGGGGGGAAAGAAAAAATAAGTCTAATATGAATTATTCCTTAGGATTTCTTTAATTTAGAGGCTCTTATGTAGTTGGCACTTTATAAGGAGGGCTGTGGTTATGTCTGTGGCCTCTCCTCGGCGGGGAACG